GGGGGGGGGGGGGGGGGGGGTAAGCCAAGCCCCCGACAGACTTCGTCTCATGGCGAACTGTGCCTGGTTGGTCATGCTGTCGGCCTCGTCGAGTATCACCATCTTCACCTGACCCGCCTCACTGACAGACACATCACACACATCACACCATACACACACTCACACAAACTGACTGCCTGATTGACTGATTCAAGTGGCCCGTGTGTGGCTCGCTCGACTCTGACTGACCGTTTGAAGGAAATGGTTTGCTGGGCGACGAAGGTCTTGATCTCGTTCCGCACGACGTCGATGCCGCGGGCGTCTGAGGCATTCAGCTCCAGCACCATCGACTTGTAGCGATTCCCATACATCTCCTGCAGCCAGCAGCAACACAACACACTGGATGGATGGATGGATGGAACCACCACACACACACACACGCGCGCGCGCTCACAGCACTCACTGCTCAACCAACCAACCTACCAACCTTTGCACAGGCCAGAATGGTGGATGTCTTGCCGGTGCCTGCACACACCACACCCGAGAGCATCTCTCCCCGTGCACGGCCGCCTCTCTGTGTGTGTGTACCATACCAGGCGGTCCGTGTAGCAGCATGTGTGGCAGACGGTTCGAGTCAACCAACTTGCGAACTGAACACACACTCACACGCACACAGACGATTACTGCCCGCTCGTCGAGTGCTGTGGTATGATGGTCGGTTCCCTCCCTCACTGGTGGTGATGATGTCCTTGTGCGCCACGAGGTCCCCGAGGGTCTTCGGGCGGTACTTCTCCACCTGACATCATCCTCAGCGGGCCAGCCACAATAGATAGATGAGTTGTGCGGTGTGCGCGTCATCCGTCTGTCTGTCTGTCTGTCGGGCGTAGCGTACCCACGGCAGCACTTCCATGCCTCCGACCGTCTGAGCAGCCGCCTTCAGATCTGCCGCTGCTGCTGCCCCATGCTCCTGCAAACATCCAGACATCCAGATATCTGGATGCGGTGCATTCGTCGGCATGCATGGCATGCCAGGCTCTCTCTCGTGCGTGTGTGTGTGTTTGCTCGTGTGGTGTCTGACCTGGTCCTCCATGTCGTGGTCACCGTGGTCATCATGCATGATCTCGTCCTCGTCCATCGTGATGGACTGAAAAGGTTTGGCAGAGATCCCAACCAAACTTCGCTGATATATCAGCTACAAAGCTACCAAGAGAAGCCGAAATGGCCTCAAAGCACGTCTAAGTTCGCAGGGCTTGAACCCTGCGACAGTGGGGCTGAGTGGTTTTTCCCATTGCAATTAAGTGCCCATGAAGGCTGGTGCCGCGCTCATCCGTAGCGTTGAAATGAAAGGGGACGACCAGACACCTCATCTACGTGTCTAACACGAAAGCAACAACCAACAAATGGCCTGAGACTACACACCTTCACACCAGAGCAACCGCATGGACATCCTATCCCAGTCGGCCAAAGCCCAAATTACATTCCCGTGAACACTGAAAACAAGAAGCTCATTCATGCAAACACCGGCACCCTGCTGCTGCAAACACCAGCACCCTGCTGCAAAAACAAGCAAAGAAACAAAGAGCGGACCTACAGACCACTCAAGTCAGGCAATATGCGCCAGTCACCGGACACACACACATCTCTGTCCCCTCCCCCCCTCATGCATGATATTCCACCGTCCCTCTGTTGATGACGGCATCGGCCAGGTCGAAGTGACTCAGCACGCCACGCCAGCGGGACACCGATGTGGGGAAGCGGTGAGCGAGCGGCTGAGACCGATCGCCAACAGACCGCTCGGTCGTCTGCAGAGAGATGTGGTTGCTGCACGTCACCCCTAGATAGGCAGCGACGTCCTCGTAGGGCCGGAAGCCGCTCACAACCACATGACGGCGGTCGTGTGGGTTGGTATCATTCAGGTTGCCGCCGTCGAGGCGGAAGTCCACAGCGATGGCCCCCTGCTGCTGCTCGCTGATGGGCTCAGTCAGCAGACGGCGATGGCGGTTGTCATCATCGCCGATGGGAGCAGCCAGCACGCACCTTTCGCCCACCCCCCTATCATAGGGCCACCACCCGAGCATCGTGTCCAGGAGGAACGACGCGAATGAGCGGTAGAGTATGTTGCAGTCCCATCGGATGACGGGATCGGTCGTCTTGTAGCCGATGCGATAGGGGTGGTTGGCCGGCAGCTCACTCAAGGGCACCACACGGAACGTGGTTCGATAGTCGATCGCCTGATAGATCCGATAGACACCGTTGTCACCGGCTCGCTGCAGCGCCAGGCTGTGTCCGTGGTAGGTGAGGCTGTGGCCGATGGCCTTGTAGAGCGCCATGGCGAGCGGCAGCTGGTGGAAGGCTGTCGGAGAGGGCAGTGCATCAGCCGACAGCCGCAGGGGCAGAGTGGAATTGGGTGTGAGCCGATAGATGGCGGCCAGCCGAATAAACCGCCCCATCGCCCGCCACTCCTCGCCACTGCCCTGCTCCAGCAGGTAGACCAATCTCAAGCCGGCCTCCAGATCATCCCCAATGTCGAAGGCCAACGCGTCCTCCAGCCCGAGACGACTGATGGCCTTGTTGATGTGCTTCTGGACGCCGTTGAGCAGGGTGCTGTTGACGGTCTCCGCAGTATGGCCCAGCAGCTCCTGTTGCCGAGTGCCGTTGACGATCTGTGAGCGGAGAGCGGCTCGTTTGGCACCGTCAATGACCATGCGGGCCATCTTGCTGATGGGCAATGACAGGTCAAAGAGGCCGGCGGGCTGGAAGAGCGGAGGGCTGGGGGGACGGGACGAGGGCGCTGCACCAGTGGGCTGCATCGTGACTGTCCGAGGCCTGAGGGAGGGGCGTGGTATGGGGGGATCCCTTCAGTGTCTTGAAAGCTCCAGATCTGACCGGCTGTGACGTCCCTTGCGCGTCATCTTCCCTGACCGCGCGGCAAAGAGAATCCAAACGGCAAAAGTGTTCACCGTGTGCACGTCTAAGCTCGCAGGGTTTCAAACCCTGCGACTGTGGGGCTTCTCTTGGAAGGAAAGGTAGCCACAAAACGCCCCTATTTCGCATCGCGTCGTCTTCCCTGACCGCACTGCATCGCCCTATCAGCAAATATCGTCGTGCATGGCCGACAGATCCCGCGGCAAGAGGCAGCGTCTCCTGGAGTGTCGCCCTTCGCCGAGGGAGAGCTCTGCTGCTGATACGGATGATGATTCGCCGTATGAGTTGCCCAGCGCCGCCCCATGCGACTCACTGAGTGGCTTGCCGGCACCACTGGTGCATTCGGTTGGCTCCCTTCTGGACGACAGGTCGCTCGGGCGGTTCCTGAAGGTGTGCAGGGAGATCAGCAGCTTGTTCACTGGCACTCAGGTGAGAACGAAAGAAATAAAGACACACACACAGACAGGCAGAAAACATACAAGTCATTTTGGCTTCTGCATTTGTCTGTCTCTTCTCAGGGTGAGTTCTTCTGGCGTCATCGGTGCATCCACACCTGGCGTCCTCATCCCGCCCTCGCCCCACTATTCACCCACACGCCCCTCGCCCTCCCCCCAGCCCTCACATGGCAATCCTTCTATGCGTCGAGGCGCAGCCTATTTCGCTCTCTGACCATTCGTCTGGTCGGCTTCTCAGCTGCAGATGAGAGGGCGCTTCGAGCCCTTATATCCAGCTGTGGAGGGCGGTGTGTTGGTGCTGGCGGTGAGACGGCCAGTCGAAGGCGGCGGGATGAGTGTGTGACGCATGTGGTGGTGAGGCGGTGTGTGAGTGCGGGCGAGAGGGGGCAGATCTTGACGGACAGGCCCTGTCTGGTGGAGCAGTGGCTGGTGGACTCCTTTCATCAGGGTGGGTAGATGGGGCAGAGAGGCAGCCCGACAGCTGGGGATGCAAGACGCAAAGATGGTTGGTGTCGGTGTACGTATGTGTATGGGATTTGCAGGCCGTGTCCAGCCGAGGCATCATCTCTCGTGTCCGGCCAAGTACTCGCGGTGGCAGGTGTGTGTGTGAACATGGTCAGAGAGTCAGAGTGGAGATGCGCATCAGCCAAGCTCTGCCGTGCCTCTCGTGCAGTGCCCCGGCCAGTGTGCGAGTCCGCGTTCGACCGACACTGCCCCCCCTGCCCTCTCGGCCCCCATCCCCGAAACGTGCTACGCATTGCCGTTGTTCCACAACTTCGTCTTCTGCACCACCGGGCTGACCACAGCAGACAGGTGAGCAACTGGGAGGCATGCTCTCGTGTGTCGTCATCCACCCACCCATCCATCCATGGTATGCAGGCGGCTTCTCGCATCGACGGTGCAGCGTCACGGCGCGCGGTACTGTCAGACCCTGAGGATACACATGGGGGATGACCCACAGGTATGTGTGTGTGTCGACCACCACACACACTCACCCTTTCACTCGCCCGTTTATGTCTCTCACGCCTGTGTCAGCGGCAGACCACTCATCTCGTCGTTGCCGGCACGCCAGACACCAAGGTAGATGCGATGCGGTGCACATGGTGTCCCCTTTGACAGTGGCAGATGGCCATACCGTCTCCCTGTCTCTGTGAGTGTGCAGAAGGTCACGGCCGGGCGGACCGACCCCAATCTCTTCATCGTCACGCCACAATTCGTGAGCAGAGTGGGGCACCTGTGTGTGTATGCCCTTCTGCACGTGGCTGAGCTGCCTGCGTGTGTGCAGGTGCATTTGTGCGTCAAGAACCAAGATCTGCTGTCTGAGTGGTTCTTTGCTGTCGGCACAGCCAGATAAGGGCGGGTGTGTGGGTGTCTGTCGGGCGTGTTGCGTTCTTGTCGTGGTGGTGCGCAGACGCTTCGTCAATGACGACAGATATCGCATGTCGTGTCTCGTGTCTATATGTCCCGTCCGTTCCTGTTCTTTCGCCGTTTGTTTCCTCTGTCGCAGCGCTCAGCAACGTCACTCGCATCATGCTGCTTTCGCATGTTGCTGATGCGGCGATGACGGGCGCCGTGTGAGAGGAAATGAAGGGCAAAACCGACAAGGAGGGCTTTTGCTGAGTGACAGACGGCTCGGACGTCCTCGTTGTGAGACGTACGCTGACTGAATGGGGGCGGTGTGTGATATATGGTGGTCGGTTGTCTCGCATGAAAGGTATTGAGAAAGATGCATCTCATGGTCACGTCCACAGTCAATCCATCCATCGAGCCCGCTTCTCTTCTCCAACCTTAACCACACATATGAATGCACTCACCCACCGGCCCCTTCCCTTCCTCCCTATGCACTCGCACACGCAGCTACCCAAGCCGATGCGCCTCGCCCGAGAAAGGCCTGAATCCCCGCCGCTGCGCCGCTGCCTCCTCCTCCCCCCCCTCGCCCGCACCAGGTGGTGCCCCTGGCTGCTGCCCTTGCGCGCCAGGGCCTGGTGGTGCTCCTCCTCCTCCGGCCTCGCCAGTAGTGCCGCCGTTCTGTCTTGGGGGCACCGCTCCATATGGTGGATAGTAGGCGCCATAGCCAGGGCCCTGCTGTCCTCCGTAGCCATAGGGCCCCGCGCCATAGGGCCCCGCGCCATATATCGGGTACTGAGGGGGTGGGGGTGCGTAGAAGGTGCCGGCTAAGTAGGCCATCTCCTGGTCGCGCATGAGCTTGTATATCTTCCACGAGACGAAGGCGCCGGCGGCTCCCAGAAGGGGCGAGAGGAGGAGAATGATGAAGAGAAAGGTGGTGGGGGCGTCAGAGGGTGGGAAGATCTTGAAGGGGGTGTCCTGGGTGCCCTCCTGGATGGCCCGTGTGACCAGTATCAACACGCCGAAGATGCAGTTGAAGGCGCAGAGCACGCAGTACCTGGATGACCGTGGCTGAAACATAACGATGGATGGATGGACGTTTCTCGCTCTCTGTTACCAGACGCAATAGAGTGCTGTAGTGTAGTCCTCCTTAATGGCGCAGTAGCCAATGCCCAGCAGAATAATGTCGGTGAAAGCCCCCCATATGTCGTGAATGATCAGCCGCAACACCGTCACCGACGCCTGCAGCACACAGGCGCACACACACACAGATAGATGAGAAGCCCTCCATTCCGACACTGCAGTCAACGCATGAATGCATCAAGTCCTCTCAAACAGCATATATGAGCCTTCTACATACCTGCAGGCATACAATGATTATGAGCGCAGGTTTCCACCGGTTCGTCACTGCAGGCGGGGGCGGCGCACCGACGAGAGGCGGCTGCAGAGATATCGGGACCACCATGGGGCTGAGAAGCGATGAAGAACGATAGAAAGCGGGAGCAGGGGTCTCCTACGGACGTCCAGCGAAGCCCCGATGGATGGCCTGGCCGGTTACTGCTGGAAGGCTGAATTACGGCACCAAATCAGCCACAGTGAAGCTCGATTTTCACTGCAGATGCTCAAATTAGCCGTCGAGTGACCCTGTGATGGGGTGAAAATGCGTTCGGATCTTCTTTCCCATCTGAGGCGTTTCGCGGAAGATCGCAATGCCATGCATGCACAGATTAGTGCCGAGCATAATCGGCTCCTCCAGTCCAAACTTCGGAGCCCCATCATCTCCTGAACGTGGCTTAGTCCCCTTTGAAGCTCGAGTGAGACGCTGAAAGACGCCCCCCGCACCCCCGGAGGATGGCGGACATCGAAGCGGGCAGTGAGAATGGCCTTGATCACGATGAAGGGCCACCCACGCCCATCATCAATGTGTTCATTCGGGTGCGGCCACCGGCCGACTCGGGACAGCGCGTCCAGGTGAGTCAGTCAGACACACACTGCCATGGCACACAGAGACAGGCATGGTGCGGCGTCCTTGTTTCTTGCGATGCGCAGGACCTCCTTGCTTTCGGCGAGGAGGACGACACCACCCTCATCACCATTCGTGACCCCCACTCCCACGCCACCAACGCACTCCAGGAGTACTCGTACGCGTTCGACCGCGTCTTCCAGCCATCCGTCACTCAAGCCGAGATCCAGGAGAACGTCGGCCTGCCCATGCTCGAGCACGTTTTCGATGGTGGGATGGCGTGCATGCTGTCTTACGGACAGACCAACAGTGGCAAGTCGTACACGGTGTTTGGGGAGATGGGCAAGGATGCGGCGGAGGACGAAAGGGGAGTGGTGCCGCGGGTGGTGGAGGGGGTGTTCGATAGGATCAAGGGAGAGCACAGCGGGACCAAAGTGGAAGTCACCCTCAGGTAAGTAGTAGTAAAGCATTCCATTCTCGGATATTTGGGTCAGTCTTCTGGTTGGTTGTGTTGTGTGCAGTATGGTTGAAGTGCACATGGATCAAGTGAGGGATATCTTCGGCGTCCAGTCGTCGCCGGCCACGGCATCCAGGCCCATATCGAGCCTTTCGTCCAAACCCCCTCAGTCACGGCCGCGGAGCACCACCCCATCCACAATGGCTACAGCACACAGACCAGGCGAGTGGGACAAATGCTTGTTATCTGCGCAAAAAGAGACACAATTGATGATCTGAATTTCCACCACGCCTTGCAGATTCCCGTCAGACGATCACCACTCCCTCCCGCTCGCCCAACCCTCCGTCCCCTTCCCCCTCACCAGACGAGGATATCATCCATTCGCGGCCCACCTCAGCGCTCATGACAAGACCCCAGTCAGCCCACCCTCAGAGCCGCACACGGCCGCCATCGGCCACGAGCGACACGAACACGACTAAGCGGCAGGTGCGGCCGATGAGCGCGACGGCAGCTGGTACTTCCACACGAGTGCCTTCAGGCGGCCGGACCAGGAGTGTCGTAACGCCGTCTATTGAGCATGGGTCGTCGTCAGAGGGGAGGGGCGACAGGGAGAGGGGGAGAATCTCACGGCAGGACAGTCTGCCGCTGCACGAGAGAATGGACGGAGAGGTGGGTGACCATCGACGCTTCAGCGTTCCTCTGTCGTGTCTCCCTTACTGAGTACGTGTTCGTGTCTTGTCCCCTCAGGTGTATGTGAAGGACCTGTCGTCCTTCATCGTGACAAGCGCTCGCGAGGTGGAGACCCTGATCCAGGGGGCATTCCAGACCAGGAGCCAAGCTGCTGGTGCGGGGCTCGACACAAGCCACACCGTCCTCTTTATCCGAATCACACAGGTATCCATCCACTCACCTACGGCTCAGCAGGAGGCGATCAATCATGTGTGTGCGTGTGTGTGTGCAGATGGAGGGGTACTACCCTGGTGCATTGCCAGAAGAAGTCGACACCACCACAGGCATGCTGTGTTTCGTCGACCTGGCGGGCTCGGACAGGCCGGTGCGGACCAACCGCGAGGGCATTCTCATCAAGGAAACGCTGTCCACTCTGGGCAAGGTGCTGTTGTCTATGGGGTCATCCGACACCACCCACCCGCCATATCGCGACTCGAAGCTCACGCGTCTGCTGCAGCCGGTGCTGAGCAGAGGGCCCCTGATCTTCCTCGTCATCAACCTGCACCCACACGCAGACAACTTTGAAGAGTGCAGAAACGCTCTCGCCTTCGCCGACAGGTCCTCTTGTCGCGCCGTCTGACACGCACATGTGTGTCCTCTGTGTGTGTGCAGGTGCCAATCAGCGCGTCCCTCGCCCACCATCAACGTCATCACAGAGGGCCAGAAGGCCTCTCACGAGCGGCACGTGCAGCGGCTGCTGGCCGAGATACAGGACCTCCAAAAGCAGCTCAACCAGCAGAAGGAAACCATGCAGGCCTCATACCACAAACAACTCTCGCGTCAACTCACGGCAGAGACGCCGCCACCCACTGCTGCAGCACCAGCACCCGAACCGACCAAAGCCAAGAAGGGGCGGTTTGAGGCAAAGTCGTTGACGGAGAGGCCGGAGAAAGACGAGACGGCGGCAGAGAGAGACACAAGGCTGGAGTGCTATGCGATGCGGCTGGGGCTGGACGAGACCATGAGGGGCGAGAGTGAGGAGTGGAAACGCCGAAAAGAGCAGCTGAAGAGGCAGCTCGAGTTCCTCGAATCATCACACCCGGTGGAATTTGCTGTCGGTAAGCCAATCAGCCAACGCGAATGCGACCATCCGTTTGAATGCAGTTGCTTGCGGGATGGTGTGTGTGTTGCTGATATGACAGTGAGGGACATGGCGACGGAGCAGAGACAGGAGGTGTCGGTGGCGCTGCGGCAGGAGCGGGAGAGGGCCAGGGAGGCAGAAGACAGAAAAGCACAGCTGCTCACCAAACTCGACAAGCTCAGACAAAAGTGGTGCGTGTGCACCATATACACGTCTGCCTGCTATCTGTGATTCGGTCTGTCTGTCTGTTTGGTGTGAGCAGGTATCAGGAGGAGAAGGTGCTGAATGGCAAACTGCGACACTCGGCAGAGACCATCGCACAGCTGAGACATACACTCACGGACAACGGTGAACGAGATTCAATGCACCACACACATACGCACTGTCCGCATGTCTCGGTGCCTCTGCTGCCCGCCCGTCAGATATAAGGCACCAGCAGCAGGTGGCGAGGGAGAAGCAGCGACAAGAGAAGGACCAGCAGAGCCTTCAAAGACGCGCAACCACTGTGCCAAAGGTGAAATGAACGAACTGAAAAACACCTACTGACTCACTCACATCCACTTGCTTGTCTGTCTCCTCTCAGGCTCAGACAGCGTTGCTGCGGCGCCTCTCGCAATCGCCAGTCCGTGGCCCCGGCAGCCAGCACATCACCACCGCCGCCCTCGCTGCACTTGCCAGCCCACAGCCCCCTCTCGCGTGTGATCGCGACGTGGACGAGGCAACAGAGGCTTCGGAGGATGACGGCAAGGCCGCCACCAGGGCTCTCGCGGACACGTTGGGCAGGCTGCGCAGCGACCATCAGTCGAGGGCGGGTGATGCGGTGAAGCAGCGGGTGAATCGGGCACTCTTGAAGAGGAAGAAAGAGGTACGTGTACGCCACAGAGAGAGAGAAAGAGAGAGGCCCACTTTGTGTGGGTGTAAAATGTGTGTCTCAAGGATGAGGCGTTGAGTGAGAGTCTTGAAAGAACCAAAGGAGAGACGGTGCGGCAGTATCAGTATTGGATGCAGCAAGTGCGCAGCCGTCTCGACGAGTGCCGGTCCCGCTACAGCCAGTACCGCCGGCGGTTCCGACGGGCCCGTCTGCAGCTGCACCTCGACCAATCCTACCTCCTGCAGCTGGCAAACGATCTCAACAGAATGGTCTGTCACCCACTCACACACAGCAGCCGACGAACCGAATACGCAGACACACGTCTCTCTCTCTCTCTCTCTCTTTCTCTCTCTCTCTTGCTCTTTCTCTCTCTCTCTTGTTTGTGCAGGTGAGTGACCTGGAGATGGGGACATGGCCGACGGGCTATTGGTCCAAGATCGCCACACAGGATGCTCACATACTCAACCAATGGGCCAAGATCCGACTCGCCTTCGACAAGGAGAAGGAGAATGAGCAATATCCCGCTCTCTCGGCGGAGGGCACCCCGCTCACCAAGACTGACCTCCACCCGTTCGTCGAGCGGTTTCTGGCCACGCAGAAGCGCGTTGATCGGTACATCGCGCGTGTGCAGCGGGAGAGCGAGGGAGACACGACAAAGGGTGCCGACAGGGGGAGGAGGCTCGAGAGGACTGCGAGTGTGCCGGCATTCTGTGAAGACAGCAATGATGCGGCGGACCTCAGGTGACACATGGCTTATGTCTCCATCATTGCCCATCCGTGTGCACTTTCGTCTGTATGTGTGCAGAGAGATGTTGACTTCTCTTCGCGAGCACTACATGGCCACCACTGCCCTGCCGCCCCAAACAACAGGCGCCTTTGCCCCCGAGCAGCTCAGTCGGCTGATCAACCACAGGACGGTGTCGACCATCTGCGCCTTGGAGGAGCAGCTGGAGCACTACAGGCGCATGCACGAGCACCAGAGGCGGCAGACGCAGAACCTGCGGGTGGCCTTCGACTCGTGCCAGAGGGTACTTGGGAGATCCACGCAGCAGCAGCAGCAGCAGCAGCTGCAGCAGCAGAGGACACAGAGGTCACTGGCGTAAAGAATAGTGGTCTGTTGATAGGCGTCCGTGTGTGTGTCCATGAATGTACAACAGAAAGAAGAAAAGCCCATAGCTAATGCGTGTCTGCCTCTGCGTGTCTCTTTCTTCCCAAGTCACAGAAAAGTAGTTGTACAAATGGTTTACGACTCTGTGCTCCCTCCCGCGTCTGTGTGTGGCCTCTCTGTCCATCTGTGTTGTGAGTGTCCCAAGAAATGGACGGACAGTTTTCTTTTCTTTTCCGCCTGTATTCCTCTGTCTGACTGCCTTGTAGCAAGCAACACTGACAGTGTTCCATGGCTGCTTCGACAAAAGGTACCGATGTTGACCAGCATGCAGCCCCCATGCAGCCCCCCGTCTGCATTGTCCCGACTTTATCGAAACACATGAAGGGCTTCGAGTGATGCAACTTCAAGATTCCCATTCCCCGTCCCTCGAGGCGAGTCCCAACACCCCGACGCAGGAGGGCTTCTAGGAGGGCTTTCATATGGGTGCAGTCGATACCGCCTTCCGTCTTACCAACGTGCGCTCTGATTTGGTCCTCGCCGTCAAGAAAGGTGGAGGTGAATTGGTTCTGGACGAACGAGAGACCCGCCCGAACGAGTACGAGGACCCTGACCCTTCACAGCTCTGGCTGCAGAAGAAAGATGAGTGCCCTGTCGGCGCTTTCCGTATCGTGCCGAAATCCTATCCCCATCTCGTGCTCAGAGTTCGTTCTGAGCACGGCCAACACAAACTCGTCCTTGCCCAGCCGACAAGTGGCCAGTCGGCCACGCACGAGCAGTGGATGGCGCGAAATCCCGCCGAGGTGCAACAGGCAGCCCCTTTCGATGTCCGCGACGCGTTTGGGGTCCCCTGCTGCTGCCAGCCATCGACAGAGACGGGTGGCAACACGGAGGTGGACGTGTCGAAGAGCAAGCGGCGCAGCAGCGAGGTGGACGACCCAGTGAATCTGTCCTGTGTTGGGCTGCCCACCCTTGTGATAGCTGTGGTGGCGACTGACGACGGACAAAACATCGAGATGGTGAAAGCGAGAAAAAGTGGGCGGCAGGAGGCTCTGTGGCAAAGCAGCCGGCCAATCGTCCTTCAGGGTAAGCTTCCATCTTACCCCTTCAGAGGTGACGGTTGCCATTTGTTTGTTTTTTTCTTCCTGATTTGTTTCCAGAGGTGAGCGGTGAGCTATTCTGGGGTTGTACGTGAACCGTTGCCTTGTCGGTCGGCCCGTTCGTATCTTGCATTCAGCTCAGCGTCTTCGAGGCGAGCTCTCAGGGCAACGTGGCATCTCTGCAGCGCATCGTCAGAAAGAGGGGTGCCAAGTGCCTGCAGGAGGCTGATCAGGTCACAAACACGGGCGGTAAGCACATTCCTCTTGCGTTCCTTCGTTTGTCGGCCATGCAGGAAGGAGTCACACCGCTTCGATACGCGGTAGAAGGAGGGCATGTGGAAGCAGTCGAGCAGATTGTGGCTCACGGAGGCGCAGACTTGATCAAAGAGAGCGCTGCGGTAAGAGACGAGCAGTTCTGCGGTAAGATGTGATTCTGCACTTCTTTGCAGAATCACCCTTCGTTGCTGCACCTGGCAGCGGCCATGGGCATGGAGCCCGTTGTGACGACGCTCGCCAAGGCCGCAGGGCCGGAGCTGCTCAACGTGGCAGGGGCGGGTGGGATGCCTCTGTTCCTTCTCGCCTCTTCCAAGGGCTGGACAGAGGCGATGAAGGCAATGTATGCGAGGAACAAGGGCGTGATCGAGCAGAAATTTGGAACGGTAAGCGTCGAGTAAAACAAGTATGCGCCAATCAGTGTCCCCTTCTTCGTGATGGGGTGAAGGACGAGTTCTTTGCCATTCACTGGGCTGCCGAGAAAGGGCAAGCCGGTGCCGTCAACGTACTAATTGACTTGGCCGGGCCGCAACAACTCGACAAACGCGACAAAGTACGACAATGAAGCCATAGTGAGACAACAGCCCTCAACATCAACAAGGGCGAGACATAGGGTTGTGTTCCGCCCTTTCCTTGTTTTGCTGTCCACCTGCGCAGGACAACACTGGCCCCTTCCTTGTTGCTGCCTTCACTGGCCAGCTGGAGGTGATGCAGGCCATGTATGCGAGACAGGGGTACCTAAATCTGTTGGGGCAACAAGGACAGGTGAGACACGTGCAATCACACTCCTTCTTAGGTCGTTCTCTCTGCTTTGCTTTTTGTTCACATCCAAAGGATGGCTACTATGGTATAGGTCCCACATGAGAAAGATGAGCCGCATTCGATTGTTGATCACCCTTTTGGTCTTTCTGCAGCCATCCATTGCGCTGCAGAAAAGGGTCACGTGAAGGTAGTCGATCAGCTGATGCAGTGGGACACTAGTGTATTGGACAAGCGCACAACCGTAAGCAGTATCCTGACATACCAACATGGCGAGTGTGCGGCCGCTCTTGCCTTTGCATGTTACAGAAAGGGAGCACGCCAATGTTCTTTGCAGCTGCTGCAGGCCACTTGGGCGTCCTTCAAGCCATGTTCTCGAAGAAAGGGAAGACACTCCTGGAGCAAGAGACCCCTGTGAGCACATTCAGACTATGAAGAGGCTTCATTTCGGATGGCGATGTATGCGAGCAGTTTGGCAGTGTGCCGCTACATGGGGCCGCTGCTAACGGGCGTTGTACCGTCATCAGCCAGCTGCTGGACTGGGATGTGGACTTGCAGCTTAGTAAACGTCGAAAGGTGAGTGAGATGAGGTGGGGTGCAGAGGTCGGTCCGTGTGCGTTTCCCCGGCTCTTGACAGGACAACGGTGCCACGCCATTCGTGTATGCCGCCCAGGCACAGCAGGTCGATGCGCTCAAGACGGTGTACGACAAGGCGGGGCCGCGGTCGCAGAAGGCTCTGCTGGACCAACAAGACAGCGTAAGTCGTTCATGTGTTTATGTACTGGCACAACTATTGCACTCCAACGCCATGCTGTACTCGGTTCAGCATGGGTGGACTGCATTGCATCATGCTGCTGACCAGAACAACGTTCGTATGGCTAGTCTGCTGCTCCAGTGGGGCGGTGTGTCCCTGCTGAACAAACGGGCAAAGGTGCGTTGAATCGAAACACAGACTGACGACAGACTTCGATTTCTTCAGAATGGAGACAGCCCGTTCCATTTCGCATGCAATGCTGGTCATCTGGACGTACTACGAGTGATGTATAGCCACGACCCAAACAGTGGAGCGGCTCTGCTGAAGCAGCAGGATTCTGTAGGCAAATTTGCCGATGAGTCCTCGATGTCTCCTTCACTTCAATTGGTGTCTCTCTGCGCAGAAGGGGAAGGTTCCGCTAGACAAGGCCTCGGCTGCTGGGCACACCAATGTAGCGAGGCAGCTGCTGGAGTGGGGAGGCGTCAACGAGGTCGACAGTGTAAGTCGATCGGACCATCCTAGTCAGACAAATCCCTTTGTCTCTCTTCTTGGTCAACCGCAGCAAGGTCTCACTATGTTTCTCCGCGCTGCCCGGGACAATGACCTTGGGATGCTCAGGACGATCTATGATGCCGCCGGAATCAAGAAACAGCTCTTAAACCAGCAAGATACGGTATGCATCCAGCAACAATCCATCCAGCAGCAATACACGGGCGTTTTCTCTATGTGCTGTCAGAACGGGAATTTTGCAATCCATTTGGCGACTTTGCCGGGCCATACGTCTGTCGTCAATCAGCTGCTAGCGTGGGAAGGCCGCGAGGCACTTGAAAGACGTAACAAGGTCAGGAATTTAGTGACCGGCATATCATCTCGCGCTGTCAGTCAAACACCTGATGGCCTCTGTGTCAGAGCAAAACCACCGCGTTCATGCTTGCGGCAAAGAAATATGATGGCAGCCTGATGCGGGCGATGTATGCTAAGGGAGGCAACGATCCGCTCTATCACAAAGACCAGGTGAGAGGAACCGAGTCGCACGATATACCTGCCAATTTGCATGCGTCTCAGAATTGCATGATGGCGGTTCACTATGCCATCGAAGCGGCTAGCCCGCTCGGCTCCGACTGTCCGAATGTCAATCTTCTTCTGCAGTGGGGCGGAAGGGGCATGGTTGACGTGCGCGTTGGAGAAGGCGGCAATACAGTGTTCATTGTGGCCGCCCTCATGGGGCGGAAGGCCATTATGGAAGCAATAAGAGACTATGTCAACAACGATGCACACCTGCTGTTTCAACACAACCATGTACAGTACAGTCACTTGTGCCGACTGTCTTGCATCATGCAGCAAGTTGTTTCTTCTGTGTGTGTGTTTGTGTGCCTGGTGGCAATATGAACAGTACGGCAACACTGCGCTTCACATGGCCACCATGAGAGGCGAAGGTCACATCGTGGCACAGCTCATGATTTGGGGCGGTCCGTATATCAACAATGTGCGAAACATGGAGGTACGTGATCGATGGAACGCTCTCTGACTGAACTACGTCATGTGTCTCAGGGCAAGACGCCGGTGGACCTCGCGCCAACTGCAGATATTCGCAAGACCTTGACTCTACCGAGGTTTGAGAAATACGATGCTCAAGGAAGAAAGGAGTGGCTACCGGCCGTGGGCGGCGTAAGTTGGCACATGGGCGGCGATTCAAGTTGGCTGTACTAAGGATATATGTTGACCAGGCAGTTCACTTGTGTCTTGCTTAATTGCCTGTGGACAGCGCAAGGGGCTAAGGCATGACCTAGCGGCATGGGGTCTGCGACTGCTGTCTGTGTGTGATTTGTTGCATGTCGGACCGGGAAAGTCGTGTGTTGATGTCATGCGATGGTCCATCCATCAGTCTTGTAGCAACCGTTATGGACCTTCACGTCCGCTCTGGCGTGAGCCCCTCTGCAGGCGCCAATCCATAGCGATTCTTCTTGGTCTCATCGGCACCCTGCACACACACGCAGCACACACATGCAACAAAACGCCCATTGAGGGCTGGCCACCCGCTGATCGACCTGTGAGATGAGGAACTCGGCCAGCTGGTGAAATCCGAATGCGTAGCAATAGTGCAGTGGGGTGTTGCCGCCCTTATTCTTGGCATTCACGTCCACTTTGAACTTGCACAGCAGCCGGGCCAACCGACGGTGGTTGTTCTGACACGCTATGTGCAGGAACGTGTTGCCGTGCTCGTCAGCCAGCTGCGCCAGATCGGGGCGGCGCTCAAGCAGAGACTCGATGGCCTGTGCGCGAAGGCCCACATAGGGAGACATGTGTGTGTTGGATTAGGTGCAATGTGGTGTGCTGATGTGCTTACCTCATATCGGTTGTGTCTGACGTATGAGAACATCTGTCTCTCCTCTTCCTCCCTGGCATCCTCTTCCATGTCAGCCTCACCGTCCCTCAGACCGCCCAGTGCCCCCGCTGTCGCTGATGCCTCGGTGTGTCTGAGCACCTCCTTGGGCTTGTCCGACGGCAGGTAGAAGACCATCAGCCGGGAGTCCGGCTGCTTGGTCTTGGCCTGAAAGCCTGTTTTTGACACCTGTTTCATCCCTTACTTAGTCAATTTAAATGAATGGCTGTACCTGTAGAGAGCATTGTGTGGCGGCCTCTCGCTCGGTCCCGCATAGGCAGGTTAAGCAGCCGGACATACGCCTCGCCCCGTGACTTTTCGATGGAGATGGAATCCACCGACAGGGGATACGCCTCGGTGGGTGCCGCAGGGCCAGGGGACTGAGCTGCGACTGGGGCCAGAACCTGACACGATATCATACCAGAGACAGAGAGACACGGATCATGCATTTGTGCGCTGGGATGTGTGTGTGTGTGTGTGTGTGTGTCTGACCCCCTCGATCCTGGGTCCTCCTGCGTCCTTTGCCGCCTCAGCCATGGGTGGGGGCTGTGTGGGCCGCTTGATCTTGGGCCGCTGACGGGGAATCCCATACATCGCACCTGACGACCTGACAAACGAAACGAGTCCAGTGAAAGTGCTGTCGGCGGGCAGATCTCGGTGTCCCGCTCTTGTCTTCTCACTCACGCAAAGGGAGCGAATGCTGATGTGGCCATGGAAAGGTCGTGGGGTGCGGCAGATAGCGGCAAGGGGGCGGCTGCAGGCCCCATCTTGGCACTCAGCTTGTCGGCCAGACGGTCCAGAAACTCATCCTACGCATCCATCGCAGCACCCACAATCACATTGACAGACACACACACACACATAAATGACAAGACACGTGCCTGCCTGTCTCTCTCTCTTCGCTGCCCCTGCATCCGGCACACCTTAGTGAGCAGGTTTTCAATGGATCTCTGCCTCTCAATCGCTTTCGTCCGCTCATCCACGAGGGCCTGCAGCTCGCGCATAAACGACTCGTCGACCGGCGAACCGGAGACCTGTGCTGCAGCAGCAGCAGCAGCAGCAGCAGGTGGCGGGAGAGGTGGTGACGAAGACGGCTTTTCCTCGGCGGCTGGCGAGCGATCTGGGCGTGAGAGGGCGGTGAATGTTGGGGCCCTTTCTGTCTCGCTGGACGTGTAGCCAGACGGGGTCTGTGAGGGACAACAAGGAGACACGGATGTGTTCCTCTGTTTTTTGCGTCTCTCTGAGCGGACCTCTTTCATCGGAGGGCTCAGGCCTGCACCAGCTGCCGGCGGGCTCATGGAAGCAGCCGCTGCTGCGGCTGCTGTCTGCTTCTCCTCTGCCCCCTCCCCCTCTCCCTCTCCCTCCCGGCCCTCCTCAGGCCCACCGTTGCCTCCCTCACCCTCAGCCACAGTGGTCAGCGCACCCCGTCCCCTCCCAGCCTCCCTCCCCTCGCGAAACGACACCCGAGAGCTCGTGGACTTCCGCTGGCTCTCCTGCGATGATGGGTCCGAGGGGGATTTGTGCGTCTGCGTGGTCCTTGCTGGCGGCGAGAGCTGTTGGTCGGGCGGTCTGGTTGCTGTGTCTTGTGTGGTGGTGTCTTTCATGGCTTTGAGTTCGCGGATGGCGGTGACGCGTTGGTCAAAGACGGACTGAATGGATGTGAGCCGGAAGGCGTTTTTGATGACGTCCACGAGGAAGGAGGGGAAGGGGAGCGTCATAGGCGGAGAGGGGAAGCGGACGATGCTGCAGATGGGGTAGATCGGAAGCAGCTCTGATATCTGGTAGTCGATCTTGCCGAGATCCACACCTGCAGGGAGGGAAGACAGCATCCGAGAGACAGACACCCACATGCAGAGAGAGAGAGAATACGGTCAGCGTCGGTGTGTCTGTGTGTCTCTGCCTCACCCAACTCAGCTGCCGGCGACTTGATGATAGCATCCTTCTGATCTTCCTTCTCATCTTCCTTCCATTCCTTCCACTCAGCAAAGTCAGGGATTGGCCGATCATGCTCATCGTACAGCACAGGTCCCCACAGCCCCGTCTCAAGCAGCTTCCTCCCCTTCCCAGGCCCCGCCTCACGCGCTATCTTCTCACACAGCCATCGGTCGTCAATCTCTGGCGAAGGGATGTACCCCTTCAGCATTTTCTGGCTCGCTGCCACCACAGCATTGAGCAGCTCGTGGCCTGGGGGAAGGCTCGGCACAATGTCGATGTATCCCCCGCCCGCCCCCTTATTCGGCAGGTCGTATCTCGGCAACACGCTCTCATGGAAGTCAATGACTAGTGGCTCTGGATCGGGGAAGGGCTGCCAATCGGCCGGTGGAGGGGCCATGACAGTGAAGGTGTGTGTGTCCGCGTCTCCTCCCTCTTCATTGGGGTCCCTCAGCGGCGCTTCCGCCACATGCATCTCCATTCTCGGCAGATACTTGGCATCGAGCGGCAGAATGACAGGCAATTTCGGCGGGGGCAGCACGGGTGCGATATTCAGCACGTCGGGCGGCGATCTTCCCGAGCCGTGTGGCGGCATGAGCTCGTCAAGGGGTTCCCTTCTCTCCATGCCCGGCAGCTCCACCACCGGCTGAAAGGCCAGCCGCCTGCGATCCTCGTCTGTGAGCGAGGCCGTGAGCTGCTCGAAGGCCTCCGATTCTTCCGTCTTGCCTCCCTTGATGTAGAGGCGCGTGTGGGGGGGCGGAGGGGGGTATGGGATGGCACGTACGTGGTTGTCGACTGCTTCGATGTACTTGTGGAGGGTGTCTGTTTCGTCGGGGGTGAGCTCGAGGTCCCGCAGGAACTCATCCCAGTCCTTTTGCTCAGTGGCCTTGTCAATGAGCCACCCAGATTCGCCCCTGCGTTGACAAGGCCACAGAGAGAGCAAAAACACAGATAAATGTTGAAGTGAGTGTGTGTGTGTGTCTCTTTGCCTGCCATTCCTTCCCTCATAAAGACAACTAACCGATCCAGCTTGGCGTTGAGCTGCCACAGCAGCTTTTGGTGTTCCTTTGCGCCCTCCTCGATCATGCCATCCAAGTAGACACCCATCAGGTTGGCACTGCTGCGATAAGACCGCTCCATCAGTGTCTCCTCTCCTCCATCTCCCTCTGCATCCCTCCTCTCTGCAGGGCTCTGGGCAGCAGTCGGGTCGCCGAAGTCTGCAGGCTGCCGGAGACCGAGGCCCTCCGTCTCCTCCTCTGGCTTGAAATACGCCAGTCGACGCAGCTTGGCTGTCGTAATCGACACTTTTGACGCGGACCTCTCCATCGACTCACCTTCTGCCTCTTTCTCTTGCACCTCCGGCTGCATCTTGGCCGCCAGGCATTTCCAGCAGAACTTCGCGTGGAGGGGGTTCGCATGCTCGTGCCTGTCCTCTGCTGCTGTCGCCGGTGATGGTGATGCCGTGGCCGCATCCCTCCCCCTCTCGGGTGCTGCCTCTCCCTCGTGTGTGTCGGGCAGCGATCGAATGGGCTCTGGGAATTGGAGGGTCTTGGCTGCACTGAGGAAGGGGCGGCCGAGGGTGAGGGAGGTGGGGGGGAGAAGCGATGACGTGCTCTTGCTCGGGGCCATCGTTTTTCTTCTAGTGTGTTGTGGGGGCGGCGCACCAAGGGCAGGCAGGAGGGCTCTCCACCTAGCGGGCGGTGCGAGGCTGTACTGACAAAGGGGCGTGAGATACAGACACAGAGAGAAAGAGAGAGACAGTCAGACACAATCAGCCGATTATCCCGGAGCACTCACTCTGTAGCGGCACTGTCCTTCAGCAGTGGCATCAGCTTGGCCTGTGACGCCTTGAGCGCGTCGCTTGGGGGCAATGCGGGAGCCGCCTTCGAGACACGCCCTTTGGCTGGCAGCGAAGGTGGGCCCACGCCTGTCATGAATTCGAATGAGACAGGGGCAGACAAATGGCGTGTCGAGAAGCTGGCGGCTGCATGTGGTGTGCCCTCTTGTGTGTCTTGGTGCGCACCGTATTTGAGCATTGTTTGCCTCTGCTTCTGCCTCCACTCATCCCACTGGTGAAGGCGGTCCACGTGTGACTGTCCCTTTCTCTCGCCTGATTTGATGTCGCCGTCGCGAGCACGGGGTCTGTCCTCGCCCGTCGGAACCGACATCGGAGCAGCAGGTTGACTGCGAGCTTAAAGCGTGTCCTGCCGTTGTAGCTCGCATCTGGTGAACAGTGTGCAGAAATTGGTCTGTTCGCGAGGAGGTTGTGACGTCATCTCGAGTGTGATTCGACAGATCATGGGACGGTGGCCGCTCCTCGTGGCCGCCTTGGCCCATAATTTTTGCTCTCTCTGCTGCGCGCAGGGCTGGGGAGCTCGGTTCTCCTCATATTTTGGACGGGGTGCGGACAAGGTGGCGCCTGCTGCGGTGGCGGATGGCTGGTCTGGTCAGCGAACGCCCGACAGACAGACCGTCATATGTGCGCAGCTGTCATTGGTGATGCATGACGCAGCCTTTGCTTTGTGCGTGTCTGTGTGTGTGTCTGTGTGTGGCAGGTACGCTATTCCATCGGCCGAGCAGCTCGTTCACCCACAGCCATAGCCATGCCGAAGTGCCTGCCCCTCTCCCGCTCCACAACGAAACGACAAACGACGCGGCAGCCGGTGGCTCTACGTCCAAGCCTCCGACCACCCCTGCCGGCTCGCACGCCAACGAGCAGCCCCACCACCCTTCCCCCTCCTCCCCTTCGCACCACCATCACGTCCACCTGACCCCGACCAACCTGCCTCCCTTCGTGCTCAATGGCGACCCCTCGGAGGATCCCCTCGGGCAGTGCCCCTTCCTCCGCCGGTACCTCGAGAACCCCTTTGCCTACCTAGACCTAATGGAGTACGAGCCGCCACCCAAATCCAACACCGAGTTCCTCGCCCCGAGGAAGAAGGAAGGGCAGCCGGGGGAGAGAGATGGTGACGGCACTCACAGCCCCACCGGTGGGCATGGCGTCAAGAAGATCCCTGATCGGTGGAACAAGACCCCCGAGCAGCGGAAGAAGTTCGGCGAGCAGCTTCGCGAGGCGATTGAGGCTCTCGACCGGCTTGACGTCGACGACAGGATGCGGCTGCTCAAGCGCAAGTCGTTCTTCAGCAGAAAGACCGTCACGGAGGCCGACCACGAAGAGCTCGCCGCCAAGTGTCAGCAGTCCATTGAAGAGCTCGACCCGTTCGCCATCCGATCGCCCGACGAGGAGCTGAGTGAGGACGTCAGGGGGGAGGCCATGAAGAGGTGGAAGCTGGAGATCCTCACCCTGCGGCAGGAGAAGCTCAATCAGCGGCGGCATGGCGGGGGTTGGGGCGGCTTTCGCCTCAACAAGCAGGCCGACGGCAAGGCGAGATGGGCGGGCAAGTACTCGTGGGACGGCCTGCGCTTCACCAACCAGAAGAAGAAGGGCAGGACATTCGACATGGCAACTAAGCAGTGGGTGACGTCGGACCAGCAAGACAACCAAGACGCCCAAGGCGAGAAGCCGCCAGCCGACGAGATACCCACCACCAGCACCTCCGCTCAGCAACAGCAGCAGCAGCAGAATCCTCAGTGGAAGCGCCCTGAGGGCTTCCTGGCTCCCAGGACATCCCCCCCATCGGCAGATGGGAGTGATGTGGTGGCCACCAGCCGGCAGCTCAGCCAAGCCGGAGATGAGCAGAGGACCACCGGGGAGAAGAGGCGGTTCAGGAAGAACTAGACAATCAGCTCAGTGTCGATAGATATGGTGATAGGGTTTGGGTGTCGATAGCGAATTAAATGACTAAATGTCCAATTTTGGCAGACAGACAGACAGAGCAAACGGACTGACCGTGCATCTATTGGCTGTGTGCGTGCGAGTGGATGCGGGCATGCATGTGGACAGCCAGACATAACAACAACCGTGGCGGATGGGATGGGCGTGGGTTTTGTGTCTAGTCTGTGTGCATGTGCGGAGCTCTCTATGCTGTCCCCCCGTGAATGTCATGATGCAGCCAGCCCTTCCAACCATCCCATCCACCTCTTACACTCACTGCGTCCGTCTGTCCGTCTGTCGTCAGTGCATTGACTGCTCTCTGTGTGTGTGCCTGCCTGAATGTCTGGGCGGCGCTGCGACAGCAAATTAATTAACATGGGGAATGGGTGGGATGGATGGGTGAGCAGGAAGCTAGCGCGTTAGTGTCCCGCCGCCGTCTCTGATTGACTGATGTGTTGTGCCTTGCCCTGCCTGATTGTGTGTCTCTGTCCGTCTGTCATGCGTGTCTTGTGGGCCGGGTGTGTCAGTCAGTCTTGTTTTTCATGTGCACGTCAGTCACGTGTGTGCCTGCCCCTTCCCTGCCTGCTGGATGGGAGAGATGGATGGATGGATGGAGGGATTCTGCATGCCAATGCATTCCACGCCTACAACACGGCTTTTGAAGCAACCTGCCTCCCTTCATGTCATTTCGTTGTTTCTTGTGAAAGCTAAGCTAGGTAGCTAGGGTGTCGAATATGATTGGCAGGCACCTGCAGTGCTCCAGCTCACCAATGCCCGTGAGTAGTGAGCGAAGAAAGGGGTCTGTGCGTGGCGTGCGTGGGCATGTCTGTCTGTCGGGTGGATGCATGGCATGGGGCCGTGAGTGACGTGTCGAGCGCTTTGCCTCGATCGGCTGGTTGTGTTGTGTTGTGTGCACTGCACGTCGGCTGCCACAAGGTGACGACAGTGAGTGAGCTAAGTGGGTAGGACACATCACATATTAATGCATGATGCATGATACATGATGTGACTCATTGATGTGATGTCTGCCTTGCTTTCATGGCAAGAGTCTTTCAGTCAACACCACACATGGCCTTCATCTTAAGAGCCTGACTGACCACTGCACTAGCTGTAGACCCATACATACTGGCGTGCAGCTACACACGACAGGTGTCTGTGTTGCTCTCCGTGGTGCTCGAGCGCACCAGCAGTATCCTGCCACTGCATACTCGTGGTCGGGGAGAAGGGACCAATTGGAAGGGACAGCCGGCGCATCGTCGTTCCAATTGGTCCCTACCATACCTCTCCAGCATCATCGCGGGGACTCCTTTTTTTTCCAGCTCGCATACGTAAATTGCAAACACGGATGGCAGGGATCCACCCATTGCATTCCTGCCATCATATGAGTTGAGGGCGGCCAAAGTGCGGCTGTCCGTTGACGTGCATCCATCCATCGCATTTGCATGGTTGACGGCAGAGTGTCATCGTGCAGTGTCTGAGTGAGGCCATCGGATTGGCATCCATCCGCACCAGTTCCGGTACGCCACCATCCACCTCACCTTTGCACCGTGCGAAAGAAAGCTGCTGCATTCGCAGTGCGAATGCATCCGCCATCCGTGCTGGTGCGTGTGATCTCATCTCATCTCATCTCATCTCATCTCACACAGATCATGGACGACTTGCCGAGGAGCCTGTTCAAGCGGGCCCACACTGGACAGAGGGAGTCTAATCCAGCGGCCAGCAAGAAGCTCAAGAACGAGTACCAGCTCCCGTCCGCACCATCTGTCAAGAAAGAGCACGAATCCGACAACGATAAGGCGAAGGAGCCCAGCTCCGCGCCGGCGCCCGTGCTCATCGAGGAGAACGGCGTGACCAACCCCGAGCCGTCGCCCAAGGACACAGAGGACCAGGAGGCGGACGGGGATGGAGATGCCCGCAGTGAGCCTGCTGCGGCGGCGGCGGCGGCTGGTGGTGGTGGTGGTGGGATGGTCAAGGACGAGCCGATGAAGTGTGATGACGATGATGAATCGGAGGAGGACATACTGCCCAGACGGAAAGGAACGAAGTGTAAGCCGAGAGAGAGGGCGGAGGGAGGGAGGGAGAGAGAATACACATGCTAGGGTGCTGACATTTGAACTGTCCTTCTCTGTCTGGGTGTGTGCAGCCAAGTTGCGGCGTCTGCGCGGTTTCCTCGACGATGAGGATGAGCAGGAGGAGGACCGTGCCCGCGAGGCGGCCTTCGCCAAGAAGCCCAAAACCACAGTCGAGGACGTCGAGATGGAAGACGCCCACGCTGACAACAACAAACGCACACCCAAAGACGACGGCGAGCAAGACAACGACAGCGAGGCCACGGAGCCCGGCGAACCAGAGAAGGGCAAGAAGGAGAAAGAGAAGGAGAAGGCCAAGAAGGAGAAGGCCAAGAAAGAGAAGGGCAAGGGCATGGGCAAGAAGGTGGGCAAGGGTGGCAAGGGTGGAGGGGGTCGTGCTGTGGGTGGGGGTCGTGAGGGCGATGGGGATGGGGGCGAGTCTAGCGGTGAGGAGGTGGACATAGACTCTTCAGATGACGATGGCGATTCCGGCTGGGAAGAGGTAGGTACAGCACGCAGGCCCACGCATCCTTATGCACGTGTCTACTCTGTATGTGTATGTGGGCACATGACAGGAGGAGCAGCCGGAGGATGACGTTGACGAGCCAGGTACCCTGTCCCCCCACCACACACACACACACGCAAACCACACACACTCATACACGTGTTAATATGCAACGTGCAGGCGCCCGACCGTTCGGCGGAATCGGCTCGCAGAAGGCCGGCGGTGGTGGCAATGGCGCAGGTGACGATGGCGATGATGTAGAGGAGATCGGTCCCGAGCAGTTCCGGCGCGTCACGCGGCAGCACGCCAAGGACAACAACATCAAAATCCCCATAGGCCACTTCCACGTAAGACCCCCGAACACACATCCAACACCCACACACCCCACACACACCCAGCCTCCCTTGTTTGTGTGTCAGGGTGGTCACAAGGAGGGCCGCGGCCGTCTGAAGCGCCCCGGGGACCTTGAGGCGGTGGACGCCATGGCCAAGGCGCAGGAACGCATCGAGATCGACCTCGACGACATCATCGAAGACGACGATGACAAACCACCCCCCGCCCGGCAGCTCAAGCGGCGCGACAGCATCTTCTCCGATGCGGGCGGCAAATACCGGGTCAAGAAGCCGAGAGCGTCCGCACTGCCCGACCCTTTGGCGCGGCTGCCGAAGAACTGGCGTGAGGCCATCGCCGACCCCATATTCCCGTACAAGCTGCAGCAGCAGTGGGAGGCACAGCAGCCCAAGAAGGAGGAGGTCGGTGTGGGGGTGCGCATACACGGATGGACGGATGGACGGATGGATGGATGGATGGATTGGGGGTGTTCTTTGGTTTGCTTACAGGGTGGCGGTTCGTCATCTGCTGCTGCGGCGGCGGCGGCGGCGGCATCGTCTGCGTCTGCTGGTGGTGGTGGTGGCGATGAGGACGCCGAGATGGACGGTGTCGGTGAGTTGATGAACGGTGGCGATGAGTTCAAATCGTGTGCATCCGCGAAGGACGTAAGGGGAATGGACGCACTGACACAAGGAAAGGGGTGGGGGGTGGAGGGGGTGTGTGTGCGGGGTTTCTGTGTCTTTGTGTCAGGTAGAGGATTCCACCGGTGACAACGACGACGAGGTGATGAAGATGGTCAGCACCTCGTCGCTCATCGGGTTTGGCAGGCCACACCCCGCCATGGTAACACACACCCTCTCCCAGTTCCTAGCAACACACACATGCAATGCATTCATTGTGTGTATGCAACGCGGATGTGTTCTCTTTCTCTCTCCAGTTGGCTGAGGTCAGGAACCACACCTACACACACCCACACCCACACCCACAGATGCATTCAAGTCATTATAGGGGTGTGTGGTGGTGGGGTGTGTGTGTGTGTGTGTGGATGATGCCATGCGTCCGTGCAGAGTGCCACGCTCAATGCGGTCAAGCTTCCCCCGCTGCTGAAATCGCAGGAGCTCTACATACCCAAGTAAGCACGCACACGCATAGCCCGATCTCTGTGCGAGTACATGTCTGTGTTTCTTGTTTGTTTGTGCGTGCGTGTGTGTGTGTGCGCAGGTGGGTGATAGATCATGGTTTGTTGTCGAGCACGCAGTTGGAGTCGTTCATCTGCGCCTGCAGACGGGGAGACAAAGTACGTCGCCCATCCCCCATCCCCCAGCCACACAAACACACATGCACACACACACACACGCCCTCTGTATCTGCGTCTGCTACTCTCTCTGTCTGTCTGTCTGTCTGTCTCTGTCTGTCTGTCTGTGTCAGATGCTCCCTGGCAACTATCGCGGAGGATTCTGCCTGGTGGGCAGCTCACCACACAGCACCACACACACAGGCACGTTTGTGTGTCCGTGTGTTGTCAACACACGTGCACAGGGCGACGGCACTGGTAGCGGCAAAGGGCGGCAGCTGGCGGCCATCATCGGACATGTCAACAACAAAGTCAGTTGACACAGCGAAGGCACAGAAGCACCTACTGCACATCAATGTGTGTGTGGTTGGGGGTGGGTGTGGCTGGCGATGGATCCATCAGGGAGCGAAGCGGCACATATGGTTTTCGATCAGCCCCGATCTGCGGATGGACACACAGCGGGACCTCAGTAAGTCAAGCAATACACATCCATCCATCCATCCATCCATACACCGATTGGTCCACACACTGTGTGTGTGCAGAGGATTTGCGCATCGGCATCCGCGACGCCAACTTGCAGGGCTTCCAGTACGGCTCCTTCTCCAAGAACAAGACCAACAGAAACAAACTCGAAAAACAGCTCGGCCCCAGCCGTAAGCACACCACCGATGGATGGATGCACCCACACACACACATGGCCATGTGTGTGTGTATGGGTATGGGTGTGCAGTGGACGGCGTGGTCTTCCTGACGTATTCGATGCTGGGCGGCCACGTGCCCAACACCAAGTGCAAGGGCATTACGGACAAGATGAAGGAGGGTGACGAGTCGGTCCTCCTCAACACAGAGTCCGCACACACACAGCAGCCCCCCTCCTCCCCCTCCCGACGCACACACACACGCACATTTTCGTGTCTGTCTCACGGTCAGCTGGACGCGGTTCGGGCAGCTCTTCGAGTGGTTCGGCGGCAAGGACGGCCAAGGCGCCATCATCTTCGACGAGAGCCACAAAGTATGTAGCCACCCAGAAAGAGACAACCACCTGTCTGTTTGTCCTTCTGAGGGCGTGTGGTGGTATGGTATGGGATGCCCTGTCAATGTCAGGCCAAAAACATCATGCCAGAGCTCAAGGGCAAGGCCCGCGGTCGTGGCGGTGGCGGCGGCCAGTTCCAGTTCGACGCGCCGCAGAGGGGCAAGAGCAATGCATCGCTGTGCGGCATCCTCGTCGCCAAGCTGCAGGTCTGTGTGTACTCACTTGGCGTTTCTATATGTCTCTCTCTGTGTGTGTGTATCCTCTTATGTGTGTGTGCCGTTTGTGTGCGTGTGTGCAGGAGGTCTGCCCGAAGGCACACGTCATCTGCGCCTCCGCAACGGCAGCCAGCGAGTTGCAGAACCTGGTCAGCAACAAAAACAAGACAGAGGAGGACACCACACACCACACACCACTCCTCACGCCGTCCACTCATTGTGTGTCTGTGTGGCTACTGTACATATGTGACTGCAGGGATACATGTCGCGTCTGGGCCTCTGGGGTGAGCGAGGGAGAGGGAGAGTGTGCTGGGTGGAGGGAGACGGCATGTGGCCATGTGTGTGTGTGTGTGTGTGTGATGTCGCTATGTGTACAGGCAAGGGCACGCCGTACAAGACGTTTGGCGAGCTGTACACCAAGATCGGACACAACGAGGAGAGCGGCATGGTACATCCATGACCCTCCCTCCACACATCACACCACACTTCTTTGTTTGTGTGTCGTCTGTCTGTCTGTCGTGTGTCAGGAGTGCCTCACCATTAACATGAAGTCCCAGGGGCTCTTCTCGTCCCGGACCATCTCATACAAGGGCGCCGTCTTCTCTGTCGACACCGTCAGCCACATGCACTCACTGCACACGAACATCGATCCACATCCTCTCAGCCACTCAATCGCGTCCATCCATGGTCGTCATCCATATGTGTGTGTATATATATGTGTGTGTGTGTGCAGATTGACCACAACAGCGAGGCCACGCGGCTGTACCAGAAGGCCGTCGACTTCTGGCAGGAGATGTAGTAAGTTGAGGGAGGACACACCACACCACACACACGTCCACACACCCTGTCCACCTCTCTGTGTGGAATTTGATTGGCGCAGTGCCTTTCTCGATGACGTCCTTCACGACGAGAACGTCCACTGGTGCGGCAAGCTGAAGGAGGGCGAGGACCCCGCTCTCAGCCCATGGTATGTGTGCATGGCGCCATCCATCCATCCATCCATCCATCCAAATGCCTTCATCACTCTTTGTTCATCCTTCTATCTCTCAGCAAGGCTTGTCGTGAGTGGCGTCTCCCCCCCAACAAAGCCAAGCGCCCGGCGGAGGACACGTATGCATCACTACCTTGTGCCACCATGTGTGTGTTCATGTGTGTGCGTGTGTGTGCAGGTGGGCGATGCAGTACTTCTGGGGCTCAG